AGACCAGTTGCTCCTAACAGTCCCAGTAACCCGTCTCAAGCGCAGTGGTGACAGGGCCTTCTCTGTAGCAGGCCCAAGACTTTGGAATGAGTTACCTCTGCTCGTTAGACAGGCCCCCTCCCTCACAGTTTTTAAATCTCGCTTAAAAACACACTTCTATTCCCTGGCTTTCTGCACTGTGTGATCTGTGCTGAGTCTGTGTGCATCACACTGTGTTAGTCATGTTACGGTTGTTGTTGTTATCCATTATTGTTTTTGTCGGTTTCTACTTTTTGGTGTCCTGTTATGTAATCTGTTGCTATGTGCTTGTTCTGTTTGTCCCTGTACAGCACTTTAGTGTGCTTTGTCACTGTTTAAAGTGCTTTATAAATAAATTGGTATGGTATGGTATGGTATGGGGCAGCACGGTGGCGCAACTGGTAGAGCTGCTGCCTCTCAGCGAGCAGGTCCCTGGTTCAAACCCCGGTCCAGGGGCCTTTCTGGGTGGAGTTTGCATGTTCTCTCCGTGCATGCGTGGGTTTTCTCCGGGTACTCCGGTTTCCTCCCACAGACCAAAAACATGCATGTTAGGCTGACTGGTAACTCTAAATTGTCCCTAGGTGTGAGTGAGAGAGTGAATGGTTGTTTGTCTCGTTTGTCTCTGTGTGGCCCTGTGATGGACTTGCGACCTGTCCAGGGTGTACCCCGCCCCTCGCACAGTGATTGCTGGACATGGGCACCAGCGACCCCCGTGACCCAAAATGGAATAAACGGGTAAAGCTAATGGATGGATGGATGGTATGGTATGGTATGGTATAGGACTCTGTATCACAGAGCAGGCAGCATCCCCACTAGCTCAGGAGCCAGGCAGAAGGAGAAATCCCACACAAGACAGGCTCTAGAGCAATGCGGATATCCTAACAGCCAACAGGTGAAAAGGAGGAACCCAGACCCAGACCAGTGGTCATTCCATATGTTGAGGGAGTATCAGAGAAACTGAGACGTTTATTTTCTAAACATAACGTCCCAGTGGCTTTTAAACCCCAAAATGCATTACGGCAAAGACTGGTTCATCCCAAAGATCCAGTCCCCCAGCACAAACAGAGTAATGTTGTGTATGCTGTTCAGTGTCAGGAGGGCTGTGATCAGTTTTACATCGGGGAAACAAAACAGCCACTGGCCAAAAGGATGGCCCAGCACAGAAGATCAACATCATCAGGCCAGGACTCTGCGGTCTACACTCATCTCCAGGCCAGCGGTCACTCTTTCAGGGATGAAGATGTTCACATCCTGGACAGAGAGGAACGATGTTTTGAGAGAGGAGTAAAGGAGGCCATCTTTGTGAAAAGAAATTGTCCATCGTTAAACACGGGTGGAGGCCTACGTGTTCAATTGTCCCCCTCTTACAATGCTGTGATTGCTAGTATCACTCAGCCCTCTGTGAATAGTAAACAGCCATCAGTGTGCTAATGATCCATTGTTAGGCTGATGGTCCTTCTTGAGCATGTGATCAGCTGGTTTTGGTTGTCAGCAGCAAAACTGGTTGATCCACTCTGAGAAGGTGCTATTTAAGAGATTGAGCTGAATACAGCACCTCAGACTGAGGAAGTCTCTCGGATGAGACGAAACGTTTCTATATTTTTTTTGTTGTTTTGCTTTGTTTTGGGTTTTTTTTTTAATGTCCAGAGGACCAGATTTAACTTTTTTAGATCATTTAGATGAGTAGTGTTGAACACAAGTCAAAAAGTCCAGTGGTGATGTTTTTTTTCATTTCTCTATAAAGACAAATAGTGCCGATCTGACACTCTGTATTAAAGTGTATCAAAGTTAAAATGTCTTTAAAACCCACTGCTGAATTTACACAAACTTGGTAAGAAACATGCTTTAAATGTGCGGAATTAAAGGAAATCTATGTGAAATGCTGCTTTTTTTGTACATTAGTGTACACTTCTTTGCGCGCGCGCATGCACACCTACACACATCATTGTGTCCCCCCACATTACGGATGCTTCTGATGCCCTTGCAATAAGGGTACACAAACAAAAGTACCAAAAAGTGAAAAAGTAAATAAAATATTTACAATGTCCTAAAGAGAGATATTGAGCAACAACATGGTAGAATATAATGGTGCAGCAGGATGAATTTGAATGAATAAGTATTTCAAGGTAGTAATATAAGCTAAAATGCACATGACATGTATATATATATATATATATATATATATATATATATA